CGCCACAAGGCTACTCGACTAGTTGACTTTCCGACATCTCACGAGAGCCGGCTCGAAAGGCGGTACCTCTCGACACCCCTCCGGACAAGACAAAAGACAACTGTGACCCTCGAGCCCCCAGCTGACAGTGCGTCAGCATCACATTAAATGCTTGACAATCGCCATTATTTCTTCATCCCCCGTACTATTTATGGCACATCGGATCATGCCGGCTCCGCACGCCGCCTATCCTATCTCATTAAATGCCAAAGTGACCACGCCCTCTCCGCCGGTCAATACCTGTAAAGTCGAAGCTGACTCAGTCGCCAACCCTGACTCAGCCGAAGAGACCAAAATGCCCCTCTTCATTGTCATAAAAGGAGAAACTATTCTCAACAAAGAGGTAAGCAATTTCTCTGTATTTTTCTCCATTCAACTACACTTAAGAACTGCTACAGTTCGCATTTCCTCACTCAAGTACCTTGCTAACTTGATCGTCAGAGGAACAACGGGGGAATCAGACCCCCGCCATCTTATAAGTTGCTACACGTGCAGGGAAGAACAGATCAACTCCAAACTAGATATTTGAAGAAGTTAGTGGTCTCTAATCAACCCAGTTCCTATTAGCTTAACTACGATTACATAACATCAACACAAGACTACTTGTCATCATGGACCGTAAAATATATCTTGTCATTGCTGAAGTAAAAAAAAATATATAAATTAAATTAATAGGGAGGGTCAACAAAATATAGTAATCTAGTAATTTTGCCCATTCGAGGAATGAGAGTTGGCATTAGGAAAGTTTGAGGAAGTTGCAGAAGGAAAGTGGTTGCTTCTCAGTCTATCTTCAATGCCCTCAATGATGACACTTGATTTGCATGCATACATCATGTAATGTTTTTTATACTAGCCCTTCAAAGCATTTGAAGTATATCAATTAGATTGAAGGATGTACTCATTATGTTTTATTTAAAAATCTCATGACTACAACTTGCAATCGATAGCGTAAAGGTCTCATTCTTGCTCTATACTAGAATATATTTATGCTTATTCTTATCGCCATGGTTAGTTTAGAAGCAAGATTTATCCTAAGTGTTCAATTCTTTCAACTAATTTTTAATCTTTCTCCTTGGTCAAAGGATTAGAAAAATTATTTAATCTATTATATCCCATTTCTCAATGGTTTAAGAGAGAGGGATTAAGACGAAGAGTTAAGCTAGTTAATCCATATAGACTAGTGAAAGCTAAATTGGCCACGGATATTGATTGACTTTTGTATATATATCTCAGATTTTGACGAATATTGATTGATTTATTCGATCCACCTTTTGTGTGTGTGTGTATATATATATAGAGAGAGAGGGGTTAGCAAATGAATATGAATATGATAAATATTATATCTCATCTGAAGCCATCTATTTTACTCTCGTTATCTATGCTTTTTATTAATTGTTTCTTTTTTACTATCTATTTATGTAAAGGTCGTTCATATATAATAGGATTTAAAAAAAAAAACTTGACAATTAGGACAAATAAAGAGTCGAGCCATTTAGCTTGCAAATTCCCATATCAGCTAGTGACAACGAAATATTTTCCCTTCTTTTTTGGCTTTACATGAAAAGGGTGCCTGAGATTGAGAGAATAATAGGTATTTTAATGGAAATGAAGGAAAAGGTTAGTATTGAATGTGATTGATTGAAAGCAATGGCACGTTTTAGAATCGTAATAGATGAGTAATTTTATATAACGTAGAAATTAACATTGACTAAATTCTTGAGATTAATATGAGAATAAGTCCAATCTGTAAGATAGCGTGAAGATGACTAACCTATTTTTTAAACCTCTTGTGTTTGAATTACAAATTATGCATGTCTTAATTCATCAAACTATGCAAGATGACATCCCTAAACAAACAATCACTCATTAATTAAAGAACATAATACAATTTGTATTTTTGCATGTCAAAAAACAGGTTTTGACTTGACCAAGCGTAGGTATATGATAAGGGTTAATTGGATGCAATCAAATTTTCAAATGTGGTGTCATTATCTATTCATTGAGAGTTGTTGTGAAGTAAACTATAAATTATCATCCTTGTCAAGACATTGAAGAAATAATTAATTGATAAAGGTAAATTTTAAAGGACTGATCATCATGCATGGTTTTCTCAGAAAACCATAGTACATTTTGATAATTTCAATTAACTACAATAAACTTTTGATAGAAAGCTGTCTTATTTCAACATTGTTTTTTTAACCGGTCATTTGTTTGGGTGTGCCCCAACCATACAATAGCAATAACAATAACAATAACAAAATGTTTATCCCAAATTTTCAGAGTGGAAAAATATTCATTTGATTTTCATACTCAACTTTGTTGAGAGTTATCTACTTCACTAAGCTAGCTAATTAATGTTTTATCTTTAAATCTAAAAATTATTTCTTTTAGATCTATTTAGAGTCCTCCTTACTTTACTAACTATAACCTTATCATACTTTCTAACGATTGCATGTAGCGTATTTAATGTGTATATATGATCATCATAAATTCTCTTTTTATTAAGGATTAATTTAAAAAAACACGCCCTCAACTAAGGGGTTGTCTCAAAAAAAACCCCTCAACTCTTTAGCTCTACAAGAGCCCTAAATTTTAGGGTTGTTGTATATAACCCATCTTAACTTTCAAAATATGACTTATCCCCCTCAACTCTTCTCACTTAAGTTGTTTACTCTAAAGGAACACATGATTTAAAATGACCATACTACCCTTAAAACATTTTATCCCCATCTTCATCTTCTCCCTCCGCATCCATTGCTAAGTCCACGTAGGAACCCAATTTTTATTTCTGTTTAAAAAAATTAAATTTCTTTTATTTTCTAGTTATTCATGTTCTGGTGTTTGGAACAATTGATTTTTTTTTTAATATTTGTTTTCCCAAAAAAAAACCATCTATTGAAGTCAAATATTTTAATTGGGTTGGTCTTTGAACTCACATGGGTTCTCCTTTGACCAAGAACATTTTAGTCATTGCACATTTTGAATTAATGATATTAAGGGTTTTATTTGAAAAAATTGTAGAGATAATCGGGGTTTTGTGAGACAACCCATATTTAAGGAAGTTTTAAGTTGTATTTTGAAAGTTGAGGGGGTTATCTACAATACTATTAAATTTTTTAGGGGGGGTTGCCTCGAAATAAAAAAATTTAAGGGGTGTTTTCTAGAACAACCCCCACAGTTGAAGGGTTTTTTTTCTAAAATTAACCCTTTTCTTAATTATCACAACCTTTTGTTGGAAAAATATCTTCCATCAACTTTGTTTAGATGATCATGTACGCGTCATCTCGTCATCTTATTGCAGCTGCGATATCATCGAAGGGCCCAATACTAAGATATGAAATTGACCAGATTAGACTCCCAAACCAATCAACTTGCAAAAAAATCATAAGAAAATAGACAAATTAGGCTCTATCAAGGTACAAACGATCAAGTTCGAGACCAATCAATCTCAATCAAGTCCCAAACAATCAAGTCAATTCACACTTTGGTGCTTGCCATCACCGCCCTAATCCTAGTTTCATCCTTCATAGGAAGTGGACAAAAGACATTGGACCTTACAAGCAGACCCCCTTAATTTGTACGAATTTCTCGTACCTTCCCTTTTTCTTATCGAGAGACACTAAGGGCACATCATGAACCACACCTCCAACTACACATCATCTCATGCTACAGTGCACCGGGCCCCAAATGAGATTTAATTTTTAAATCTCATTTGGGGACCCGGTACACTGTAGCAAGAGATGAGGTGTGGTTGGAGGTGTGGTTCATGGTGTGCCCCTATCATTTTCCTTTCTTATCTCACTCGTCTCCTAACGCATGTTTATGTGCATTCGTTAAAATAAAATAATAAAAAAAACTCTTTCTTTAATCACTTTATCAGCTATTAATTGCTATAAAGAATTGATGCTGTTATTAAGTTTCCAGATGCTTGGCTATAGAAGAGAGGTCAAAAATGAGCACATAATACCCCCTTATAATCATTTCAGTCGTCTATTATACTTTCGTTTTTGTTAGCTCCTATCCTGACCGTCTTCCTTTCCGGGGAAGATAACATTACATCATATATTGATGAAGTAGCGTACGGTAAATATATTAGCAACAATTTTAAATCAGTGCAATCAGTATACAGTATCAGGATAACCAGCGAATATGCAACGTCGTGATAATCAACAAATATATCGGCGCAATCAACTGCTTTAAAATGTGTGCTACAGTTCTTGTAGTATTGTCCTTTCTTCCCGTCTGATTCTCTGTAGAGAGTGCTCTTTCTCGACAGCCAAGCATACTCCAAATGAAAGAAACAGCATGTTTCCTACTAAACTCCGACGTGATCTCTTAACAAAAGAGCAGGTGTAATCCAATTAAATTACTCAGTACCCCCTTTGAATTCTAACGCATTAGGTAAAGGGTTAATTGGAAACAGACCCTTGTAGTATCATCCAATCGGAAATAGATCTCGTATAGTTTTATTTGTTGTAAATAGACCCCCTATAATTCTAGTTGCTGCTAGTTGATCACCTAAGTGAAAAATTTTTGACTCTTAAAATCATTAAAAATATTTGAAGAGGCAGATACACCCTCCATAATTCTATTAGTGAGGATAAACATCCAATTGCCTTTTTTTAATACTCTAAAATAGTCAAAATAGTTGAGTTATATACTACCAAGGGGTGTATTCAGAACAAATAGAACTACAAAGGGTCCATTTACAACAAGTATAACTATATGGAGGCTATTAGCAACAAGTAGAACTACAAGCTGTCTCTTCGCAATTGGATTGTACTACAGGGGATGTGTTCCGAATTAACCCTTAAATAAATAAAAACCTCGGATCAGCCGAATACAATGGGTTTCGTTATTAATGTATCTATCCAAGACTTGATTATTTACTCAATGCACCATGCTAATCCACTCAAGATAACCATCAACGAATAAATGATATTAGACACTCAGAAACGGAAGGTCTGAATACAATTGTTGGCCAAATGAACCTTAACAAAAAATCGTGTAATGTCCGCAGCCAAAAAAGTACACAGACAGCATATTTTTACCAGAACTAGTCAATCAAATACATGATTTTGGAACATGAAAATTCTTTGAAAGATTCAAAAGTGAGAGACAAAAAAATAGTTTACAAAACCAAACACTTGGAACTCAAAATCACAATCTAAACTCACAGAAACAATCAGGCAAAGCCAAACCCCTACCAGTTACAAAATCCTCCCTGTGCTCCCTCCACATTGCCTCCCTCAACTCATCCCCTCTCATCCCTTCAGCGCTACGAACCGAAAAACCCCTTCTGCTCAAAAACAAAGTCTTGTGCTTCCCCTTCAGTGTCCTCATCACTGATACCATTTTATCCATATTCCCAAAATAAGTAGCAACATAAGCATCACTATTGATCGAAACATAGTAATCCAATGCAGCTTTAGTGTTACCGTGCATTTGGACAATATCCTCACTGCTGAGAAATGAAGCTTTAGTATAGACATTGGTGTAGACTGATGTAAACCCTTCGACCTCCATAATGCCATCTCCTGCTGCCAAATAGATGGTTGTGTTTGTTGGGATGTTGAGTGATTTGAGGATAAAGGCGGTTTCTTTAGGTGTGAGGGGGCATTTTCCACGGGCTCTCCAGATACGGGCAGAATCGCCGGTCCATGGTTTTCGATCTCCACGGGCTGATTCAATGGCTTCTTGGGATTGGGAGGAGAGGCCGGAATATTGGCATTGGCTGTAGGCTACCATGTCAGGTTCAAATCTTAGGTGAAGAGAGAGGAAGGGTTTTGGGATGGAGTTCAGGAGATCAAGGGCTTTGGATTCTAGGGCTTTGTTGAGACGAAGGGCATTGTAGCAAGCTTGGCAGAAGGCGGCCTTGGCATATAAAGGGTACCTGCAAGTTTGGTGCACATTGTAACCACAAGTCTTTTTTGCTATATACATCTAACTAGTTATCCATAAACCATATATAGACTGAAGCGTTTATACCAAGAACAATATGCTTATTCTCTTAGACGATCAACCTGCTAATGTGAAAACTTACATAACTGTAAACGTGAATATCAATATTTTTTTTAACTTCCCTAATTTGGTTCCAATGACAGGCGAGAAGGCCAAAATCTAAGGTACAAAGATAGAGAGTACAGGGATTAAGATCAGATGGTAGAAGCCACAAAGAAATCAGAGAGAGTGATAGCCATCTGAAACAAGCCTAAAGTCTACTATTTATTCCCTGTAATCAATTCTCAAGGTCCTAAAATATGGTATTTCTACTGCTGGAACCAAAATTCATACTTCCTAAGTTGGTGGATGGAAGCCTCTATTTCTTTGTCAGTTGCAGTTGGTTGTCATTTAAGCTTATGTTACGGAAAATGGTGATATTCTTGTAGCTGAAGGTAAAGCTTGACATGACGACATATTGTTAAAACAGATTCAATGATTGTCCCCGAACAAACTCATGATTTTAGCTGGCATTATCAGTGTTTATATGCTAAAAAGGGAAACTAGTCCGTGTTTCATCTATAATCTCCTATGATTAACAAACTTCACTTACCATCTTCTGTCCTTCCAAGAAAGCTCCAAGGAGATGTTCATCTGATTTTATCCCATCACCCAGAGTAAGTAGGAAATAAACATTTCTTATTTTCAACAATTATATTCTTTTTTCCTGGGTGTATCCAGGAGTAACTACCATAATTTTCAACAGTTATATTATCTACTTTTGCATTGTGCCCCTCTCATAACCTGTTCACTACAACCTAAGGGTGGCAATCAGACTGATAAGAGTGGCCGAGCAGGTACTGGTCAGGCTGGCTTCAGATCAATTTGCATATGCCAAACTCATACATGACCCATTTGTTTATTGGGTCAAAGATCTCGATTCAACCTGCTTAATAATTAGGTTATGCATATATAATCATTAACTCAATTATAAGCAGACCATGTCCAGACTCCAGATAAATGGTTATATTTTAAAAAAGACATGTTGCTGAAGAAAATTAAACTCTTAGCTAATTTGAAGATGGGCACACGCATCTTAATATTCCAACCACTAAAGAAAGATGTTTATTTTTGTTATTGAATAATAACCTTTGTTCTATTTATATACAAATTATATGAGTTATTTTATTTTTAAAAATTATTTGATATTTAAATTTGATCGAGACAGGCTATATGGTTAAAGTTATTAATTCTTACCCAACCCGTTTATAAATTAGTATTCAATGAATGATAAATAACAATCCGGTCGAACAGAGTAAACATGTCCATGGAACGCAGGTCCAATACTGACAGCAATTAACGCATGAATACTCAAAAATGAGCCTACTGATTTCTTTTTAGTTCTTGAACAGGATCCTAAGCATATATTCTATTTCAAGCAAACCAACAAGATGTCAGCCCGGTGCAAATCCATAGTATTGACCATACTCTTAAGGAACCCTTTAGGATGAGTTATGAATGATCGGCATCCAACGTATGAGATCTTTCCACAAAGATAAATCCCTTTTATTTATTTCTTTATGATTCATTGTGAATAGACCCCTGTACTACTTCAAGCAAATCAACAAGATGTCAGCACAGTGCAAATCTATAGTATTGACCATGCTCTAAGGAACCCTTTAGGATGAGTTATGAAAAGTCAGGCATCCAATGTATGAGATCTTTCTACAAGGATAAATCCCTTTTATTTATTTCTTTATGGGTTAATTTCGAATAGACCCCATGTACCACCGCCCAATTGCGGATAGATTCCATGTATTTCTTTTCCCGCAGATAGAACCCCTGTAGTGTTTGGCCAAGTGCGGATAGACCCCCCCTGAGTGTACTTTTTCAACTCTAAAAGAGGGGGGGAAAGGTAATTGGGAGTCTATCCTCAACAATAGAACTACAAGGGGTCTATCCACCTCAATAAAACTTTTTTGACTCTTTTAAGAGTAAAAAAAGTTCACCCAAGGGCTCTATCAGCACAAATAGAAGTATAAAACTACAGGGGTCTATCCGCAATTGGGTGATAGTACAGGGGGTCTATCCACATTAACCCTTTCTTTATTTTCTCGCATACACTTTGTTGTGACCTTGCATGCACAAACAAATTACACCCTAACTCACAAGCTACCCAATCAAATACTAAATATTAATGGTACACAGCTCTATATGCACCTGAAACAAGTACCAATTTAGAAGGAAATTCCTGTGGGGTGGGTCGTGTATAAGGTCTGGTACTGCACAGTGCATACATTGTCTTGCACTTCTTGTATGTTTCTTTTCTACATGCATTATCCACCCTCTACGTGAGAGCATTCCCCTAGAGAGATAACAAGCTTCAAAATAAACCCTCACAATTTCCCTGGCATATATTTGCCGAAGTAGCACACCCAAGATTAAAATAACATAATTACGAAACAAATTAAAACTAAATTGTCAATGAAATCAAAAGTTAACGGTCTAGACAAAAGGGGCATTTGTTGTTGCTATGCTCTAAGAGTACTATATACTAGTCTCTCACACGTAACCAAGCAAGGCAACGTAATAATCATGCACTCTGGCTAAAATCCAAACCACCATATGTTATTGAACCATATAACTATTAGATAGAAAATTAGCACATATTGCATATTAAGGAAGGTTTGCTAGGTATTGTTTATCTAATTAAACAAGCAACTTATGATATTGTTTATCTACTTAAACAAGTGAGCAGCTCACCACTTGTGGTCAGGTGTACATAAAATGACTCAATCATGACAATCAGATAAAGCCCCATAAGTCCTATCATAGTGAAATTTGTGGCCACTGGGAAACCGAAAACAACTGCAAGCTGATAAAGTATGCTAATAAACTCATTACTAACAGTGTTAACGTGAATTTTGGGTAGAAACGGCAACTGATGATGCCAATTGCCAAAGATCCAAAACAGGCAAGCGCATGATGTGACATGTTCATAGCCAGTTACATTGAATATCAGAGATACTTTAACAAATGTCATTCATCTACGTAACGGAGGGCATATATTTGTACCTGTCTCTCCGTTGGCTCATTGCTGGCGCAATAGAAATATAGCGATGTTCCAGAAGAGAGGGAAGAACAGCCTCAACATAGTCAAAAAGTCCTTTGCGCTTGCTGCAGTCAACCTTGAACGGTTCCCTTGATGCAATCTCTTTTGGCAGCTCCCTCACAATCTCAATAAAACCTTTGGTTTCTTGAATAAAATAGTCTACATCAAATACATCCCCAAAACCACTGATTGAAACTTCACATCAGCTATACTATATTTATGAACTAAACATTAACAAACAGCTATTTTCTCTTTCTTTCCATGGCTATCTTACCTTGACTCGTTCCAATACGCCGCAACCTCAAATTTCGGCAACACCAAAGTTGCATTTAAAATACGAGCTATCCCAATTCCATCACACAACTAAATTTCAAAAACATACTCAGAGACCCAAAAATAATAATAATAATAATAATAAAGCGGAAATTTTTGTGTATAACCCCAAAGTTCTTCCATGATTTATTTTTAGAGTCACCCACTTCCAAACCCATTCTTAAACTCAAAATACCCGCTCTGGATTATTTTTAACACTTCTGTTTCCAGATCTCAAGATTCCTATAACTGGTCATAACTTGATATATTTGATGTATCCGAAGCTAGATTTGGCTATAACATGAAAATTAATTCAGTATGAGTGTTTTGGGTTGAAGAATGACTGTGGAAGTGGTGGGTTAAAGTTAAGTTGAGTAAAACTTCGGGTCTGTAATTAAAACAAAAACCTTAAAATGGGAAAATAAAAGAAGAAATTGAGGCTCACATCACGCCTCAGTTGGTTGAGGCCACCGTAGCAATCAACTCTGATGTAGCCATTTGCTCTCTCCGGCAAAGCTGCACTGAAGCCAATTGATATAGATACAAAGTAAAATAACATAAAAACCCTAAAAAATCAAAGAAATGAAACAATTTCCATTACCAGCTACTAACCAGTTAAAGCTTCAAGAGTCCACCAACTGCAAGGCCGCCACTCAAAAACCCTAGGGGCCGTCCAAATAACCGATTTCTCCGTCGAAAAGGGCCTGATCGTAATTTCCCAGAAAAAATTGCAACTTTGAATCAAAAAGATCAGAAACTGAGAAGAAAGAGAGAGGGATGACTGTTTACTTGAAGGAGGATGTCGTCGATAGGAATCGAGTGGAGAACTCCGACGAGGGGAAGAAGACGACGGCGGCCGCGGCGAGAGAGAGAGCGAAGAGGAGGAGGAAGAAGATCGGCCTCATGCGATGGTTCCACGAGCTTGAAGACAGCATCGGGCCGAGAGTCAAGAAAACCCTAACGGCGGCGCTCAGATCCCTAATTTGTGCATTTGATTCAGATCTCGCTCTCTTTTGGACTGAAATTTTGTGAATGTGAGCTCTGTTTTATTAATGGAGCCGCTGCTTCGTCGGAAACCAGCTCAGAGTGAGAAAACATGGTTGGAGGAATTGCATATTAGTCCATTATATTGATCACTAATTGCCACATAGTCGCTAAAATCTCATTACTTATTTACTAGTCCCTTAAATCTTTAGTGTTCTTGCCATATGGTCTTTCCGTTAGAAAAACCGTTAACTTCTCCAACTCTATCTTAGGGCTTGTTTGGATTGAGGGGAATGAGGGTGAAGGGAAGTTAGGGGAACCATTCACCTCCATTCACCTTGTTTGGGAACACTTAGGAGGTGAAGTTAATTCACCTCCATTCACCTTGGTTCACCCCCTAATAGTATAAAAATTGTTACCCCCCAAATTGGGGTGTAACCAAGGGGAATGGAATTCCCTTCCCTTCCCTTCCTTTCCCTTCCCTTCCCTTCACTCAGTTTCCCTTAACTTCCCTTCACCCCCTACGAATCCAAACAGGCCCTTAGTTTTCCAATAGGACAAATTTTCAAAACCAACCTTTTTGCAAAAATATTCCCCAAAAACGATATGTTTCAACTTTAATTACCAAAATCGGCCCAGTTTCACGTCAGGGCTGAAACTAGGTCGGTTTTGACGAAAAAAGTTCTCAAACTTCACGGGAGTTGAACTCCCGTGAAGTTTTTTACATAACAAAACTTCACGGGACTTCAGGGCTGAAACTGAGTGAAGTCCCGTGAAGTTTTGTTATGTGAAAAACTTCACGGGGTTGAACTCCCGTGAAGTTTGAGAACTTTTTTCGCCAAAACCGACAGATCGTCTTTTAAAAATAAGTTTCAAAAAGCGCTTGTTCTAAAAATTTGTCATTTTCCAATAACTCAAGTTATCTTAGGGCATCTCCAACCATACCCTCTAAATTGGAATATTCTAGGAATATTCCAATTTGGAGGGTGAAATTTGGAGGGTTGCTCCAACCCACACTCTCCAAATATTTTTTTTATTTTTTTATCAAAAAAGCCATATAAATTAAATAATGTTGGATATAGTTTACATTAAAAAATTTATTGTTAATAATTTATTTAGAAAAAAAATTATAACATTATAAAGGTGTCGATGAGAGCTTTAAAATAAACCCAATATTAACACTGCAATACAACATATTAAAAAAGAAGATCTCAACATATTAAAAAAATTTATAACATTATAAAGGTGTCGATGAGAGCTTTAAAATAGATCCCCGTATTTAAAATTTCATGTCTGATACTTATTTATTTAATTTAAAAATTAATAATTTTATAATAATACTAAAATAAATTAATCTTAGTTTCATTTTAAAGATCTCAACGAGCCCTTTCCAAATATATGATGATTTCAAATATTAGATTAATAATTTTTTTAACTATATTTATTTAAAATTAAACATCTAATTTAAATTATTAAGAAGGATGGCAAAGTGGTAATTTTTAAGAAATTAAATAGTTAAAAATGGCAAAATTGTAAGTAATAAACCATGAATAGTGTTATGGAGAGACCCTCCATTTTTTCTCCTCACCCTCTAAATTTGGAGGGTCAAATTTGGAGATCTCTAAATTTGGAGAGTGGTTGGAGAGATTCCACTCTCCAAATTTGAAGATTTTGAAGATACACAGGCTGGTTGGAGATGGTCTCATTGCTCCTAAAGTACCCAGCGCTTGCCCAAAAGTAGCCCTCAAGTAGGGATGGCAATTCTGGTCCAAACCCAATAACCCACCTAGATCCATCCAATATAAAACCCATCCAAACCAACCCATTTAGCTAAATGGGTCTAATTGGGTGGGTAACTATTTCTATAGTAGTTAAATGGGTATTAAATGGGCAGGTCTTGACCCAACCATAACCCACCCAAACTTAGCCAGCAAAATAGAAATTTCCTCTCCCCTCTATCTGCGATTCTCTCTCTCCAAAACATCTCGGCTCCCCTCTCTCTGCGATTCGTCTCTCCGAGCTTCTACGGGATTTTCCCGGTGGCACCACCGCAGATCGGCGACCGAGGGCTGATCGACGACGAAGAAGAAGACGACGGCGGTGATCGGCGATGAAGACGACGAAGCCTTTGAGTAAGTAAATCAGGAGTCCTCCCCCATCGCGAGAGCGATCTCAAACCCCAAGCTCTCCAAGCTCCTCCCCCATCGCTCCTCTCCTCCGATAGCGAACAAGCGCCGCCGCGTCAGTGATCTCGCCGTCGACTGCAAGAGATCCGATATCGACTGCAAGTTCGCTCACCCTCACTCCGCCGATTCAAGTAATTTGATCTATTTTCTCTTGTTTAATTTGATTTTTTAGGGTTTAATTTGATTGTGGCTGTTGTTTTTAGGGATAAGGTGATTTTTTAGGGTTTACTTTAATTTCATTTTTTAGTATTAGTTTTGTTCTTATTTTTATTTTTATTTTAATATGGTGATTCAAGCTATATTTCTGCTCGATACACTGGATAAGGATATTAACTCGTTCATCTGTTCTTTTTTGACAAGCTAATAATAGTTTATTTGTTAATTTTAGCATATTGCCGCTAAAATCTATAGGAAACAAAATAAAAAGATAACAGTTGAGAAATACACAAGAAATAAAACACTTTAAGCTGTGACAAGGGCATTGAAATTAGGGTTAATGGCACATAGACTCCCTGTAGTATTGCTTTGTACACTTGTTACCCCTTAAATTTGATGTAAGCAAATATAGAGTAACATTTCGAATAATGTCGCTTTAATATACGAATATTGTTGCAATTACTAAATTGTTCAATTGTAATCTCCTAAATTGTTGATTTCACTTTTGTTGGGTAGTGTTCTTTTCTTATTGTAGTTATTTAATATATATGAAGCTATTTTATTAACTTTTGACATTTGTTTTGATATTTAAAAGTTATTTTTCTTGTTTCAGCTACTATGTCTTTGAATGAATTTACTGCATGCGATGATGGTAGTGAATCTGGTAATGAAACTATATCTATACGTAAAAGAAGAGCAAAATCAAAAGTTTGGGAGTATTTTACTGAGTTGCCTGTTGATAGTGATGGGAAAGCTAAAGTTCAGTGCAAGAAATGTGACCAAGTTTATGTTAGTGGTTATGGTACCACAAATATGTTGAGGCATATTCATTCTTGCCCAAAACGAGATATAGATGAGGTTGATTCATCGTGGAAAACCATGTCATTAGATCAAGATAATTATAGAGAAATGTTGGCTAGGGTCATTGCATTGCATGGTTATTCGTTCTGTTTTGTGGAACATCGAGAGATACGCAAATTACATACATTTTTAAATCCTGAAGTCAAGCATATCTCGAGGAACACCACTAAAGCTGATTTGCTTAAGTTGTACCAGAAAGAAAAAAAAAATTCTTAAACAACTTTTGAAGCTAGTTCCTAGCAGAATCAGTCTAACTACAGACTTGTGGACCTCTTCAACATCAGATTACTACATGTCTCTTACTGCACATTACATTGATGAGCAATGGATCTTGCAAAACAAAATATTAGCTTTGTCTCATGTTTCACCCCCATATAGTGGGGCAATTTTAGTAGAGAAGCTATTTCATTTACTGAAGGAGTGGGGCATCGAAAAAAGAATTTTCACTGTTACATTGGATAATGCATCATATAATGATGCTTTTATGAAGATTTTGAAAGACCATCCTGCTTTAAAGGAGCATTTTGTCTCCAATGGTGAATTTTTGCATGTACGATGTTGTGCTCACATTTTAAATCTTGTTGTACAAGATGGTTTAAAAATAATTGATAAATCTTTATCCAAGTTTAGAGAATGCATTAAATATGTAAAGAGTCCTCCTGGAAGGAAGAAAAAATTTGCAGAGTGTATCGAACAAACTTGTTCAGTTAGTGCAAAGAAAATTCAACAAGATGTGTCCAATAGGTGGAATTCCACCTTTTTAATGTTGGAGAGTGTTTTACCTTTTCGTCGGGCATTTGAGCAATTGAAGGTAATCGATTCAAATTTTACATTTTGTCCATCAACTGAAGAATGGGTAAAGGCTGAAAAAATAGCAAAGTTCTTGAAACCTTTTTATGAAGTGTGCACTCTTTTTTCTGGAAGTAAATACCCAACTTCTAACTTGTATTTTGGTGGGGTTTGGAAGATACAAAAATGCATAAAGGAAGAGATGACAAGTGAAGATGAAGACATAAAATCTATGGCAAGTGATATGGAGAAAAAGTTTAATAAATATTGGAAGTGTTATAGCAAGATTTTGTCCTTTGCATGCATCTTAGACCCCCGTTATAAGGTGAAATATGTGGAGTTTTGTTTTCAAAAAGTGGGTCTTGGTTCTACTCATGTGGTGACTCTCTTGGATAAGTTAAAGCTTCTTTACAAAGAATATGAGAGAGCATCAAATGATATATGCATGGCCGGTAGTAGTTCGGAAGAGGCCTTTGGAGATGTTCGTGATGATGAGATGCTTGAGTTTGAACAGTTTGAGAGCCAAGTAGTTTCAGTCAGTAGGACCAAGTCTGAATTAGAGGAGTATTTAGATGAAAAGATACTTTCTTGGAAGAAAAATGAGAAACTGAATGTTCTTGAATATTGGAAAGTAGAATCTGAGAAGCGTCCTCAATTATCCATGATGGCTCGTGATATACTCAGTATCCCTATTACTTCAGTGGCCTCTGAATCTGCTTTCAGCATAGCTGGTCGTGTGCTTGATAAGTACCGCAATCGTCTTCTTCCGGAAAATGCCGAAGCTCAAATATGCCTTGGTTCTTGGTTAGAGGAGGTTCCTTGTAAGTTGCTTACTTTTTCTTGTTACCTTCTGTAAATTTATGGTGTACATGTGTTATATTAGACTAACATAGTTGTATCCTATGATCTAAATGCAGCTTTGGAAGATATTGAAGAAGGACATCTGTTGGTGCATGATTTTAGTGATATTCAAAATTTTGAATCTGAAGGAGGGTGGTGAAGTGCTTGTTAGAAGATTTGTCATCTTGTCTTGGCTGACTATGTTACTATTTTTTTCTACACAATGGCTCTTAATTTTCATGTGTGCAATTACTGGGGGTTACATAAGGTTTTTGTAGAGAACTTATTGTTTTAATGCAACGGATATTGTTGTTACATAAGTTTGTAATTCGCGTCTGTCTTTCACTAGTACTTGCATATTGTTCCTTGTAGAATTTGATCTTCTGATGCCTTCAAATTGTAGATGATTTCTCTTTCGCGCATATGGTCCCTGGAATATTGCTTTCCAAAACTTGTAAAAATTGTAGATGATTTCTCATCAACAATTTTCACAGAGGAGTGAAGATTAGGAGGATAAAAACAGAATTCAGGGTATGGAAGTTTCCTCTGGTCTAGTGCATTTTCTCGTATAGAAATCATCTCTGACATCAGCTTTTGCATCTCACTTGCAACTTGTTGCTTAGAAGGATCAAGAACACTAAGTGAAAAGATCTGAACAAGAAATTGAACATGCTCGTGTATTAGACAATACAACTGCCGAAGTTGATTTGCTGTAAATCCAGTGTTTATGTAAGCGCCAGAAGTATATGGTGTGCAATGAGGAAAAACCATAGGAGATGAAAATGGCCATCCATGTAATGGAAGACCAGATGCTTGTACAGTTGATTCATATGGCACCAAAGGGCGTAATGGCATCTTCGCTTGTCCCATAAGAGTTTTCTTGTCTTTTGCAGATTCCTTTAAGCGCTTCTTCTGCCTAGTCACCGGCACATAACCACCTCCCTCTTGCTTACCATTCTTTCCTTCATCATAATCAACATTTTCATCAACATCACTCTCCAGTGCCTCCTCAATTTCGAGCTCAAAGTCAGCATCATTATCTTCTCCTCAATTTTGAACTAGAAAATCATATAGGTTAACATCTGTATTTGCTCCCACGTTCTTACCAAAATGACTATATTGCAAATTTCTAGTTTGTTGTTTGAAAAATTTTAGTGTTTGCAAATTTCTAGTTTGCTTTAGTATACTTGCATATTGTTCACACACTCAAATAGATGTTTTCAATTTGCAGGATTCACTGGTAGAGACCGCCAAAGATCAGGCTAGCTCCATGAGCAATATGATTGTGCAGGCTACGAAGTAGAGAGTTCCATGATTTTGCCATGGGCTGCATTAGCCCTTACTGTTTTCAACTTTCGTGAGGCGATGTTGTGAATATAAGCGAGGCAATTGGTTCTATATGATCTCATGAGGTGTATGGTCACTGTGTTTTCCATACCGCAGTTTGTTCGAAAACAATGTATGTTCATTCACAGTTTGTTCAGATTGATGAAAATTTGTTGTCATGTATGTTCATTCACAGTATGTTCATTCACAGTTTGTTCAGTTTGTTCGAAATTTTTTTCTCATGAGGTGTATGGGCAACGTATGGTTTGGCATTCATTGAAGACTATTGCTTTCCAAAACTTGTAAAAATAGGCCAATTCTTCATTTATTTTTTGTATGTATTTCTCAGTTTTAAAACCCCCTGAAAGTTTATAAAAAACCCTGTGAAAGTTTGCGTAAAACCCCTTAAAAGTTTGCAAAAAACCCCCTGAAAGTTTGCGTAAAACCCCCTAAAAGTTTGCAGAAAACCCCCTAAAAGTTTGCAGAAAACCCCCTAAAAGTTTGCAGAAAACCCCCTAAAAGTTTACAGAAAACCCCCTGAAAGTTTGCAGAAAACCCCCCTGAAAGTTTGCAGAAAACCCCCTAAAACTTACATATATATAAAAGCATTATAACTAAATGGGTTATCGGGTCACCCATTAACCACCCATTTAGTAAATGGGTGGATGAGAACCGACCCATTTAGCAAATGCTAAATGGGTTATAAATGGTCAAATGGTCATAAATGTGACCACCCATTTATGACCCAACCAAACCCAACCAAAACCACCCATTTGACATCCCTACCCTCAACCCTAGACTATACCCCTAAACCCTATACCCCCTAATCACGACACGAGTACAGTAGCAGTCGCTAAACAGCTACTGCTAGCATTGCTCGAGGGATGTAATAGTACTTATAATAACAACATTAGTCATTTTTTTTTTAAATGACTAAGTGGTATCTTACGTATATATAGTAAGCTTAAATCCATTTAACCTTGATGGTTTTCTTTCTTCTAGCAATCAAAGTTCAGCTCCTTTCGCAAACCAGACTCTAAATACGCAATAAAATAAACAAATAAATAAATAACTCATAAGGAATCGGCCTAAAAGTTTTTTTTTTTTCAAGAGATGACCGATGTCCATATTCAGTTACAGAAGACTTTCTATAACATACAACAAAATCAAATCCCCAAATGAGCAAAAACGCATATAGAGCAAAACTGGACATAATACCCAAATGTTGAAGATACAACAGAAGACTTTCTATACAAACATCAGAGCAGTACTCTTTAACTCTTTCGATAACAAAAAAATGGGAACATCCGCAGATCCTAGCTATAGAAAAGCATACAACAAAAATCAAACGGCAAATAAATTACAATGCATACAACAAACCCTGCCATATAAAATGTTGTACAATACACAACAGAAGGCTTCTTTACATACATCAGAACAGAACAGAACTCTCTCTCTCTCTCAAACTGAGAAAAAAGAAACATTAGCAGCTCCCCTCATGGGACTTCAAGGGTTAAAAGAACACAAAAAAGGGGAAGATATAGGTCATGTACAAAATCTCAAAATCTTTTCCTCCCACGCGGTAGCTTGTCAGATGAAATTATACCTTATACACAGCCAAAGGAAAATTGTAAGAGGATCTTGATTTCCTCATAGAAAAGCCTCTGAAAATTGGCTTCCCTCACTCAGAGTTCTTTGCAGAAGCTGATGAAGAGCTCGGGTTTGAGGACTCATCCCCTGAAGAGTCTGATGCGCTCTCCTGATGATTTTCCGAATTTGTCTTGGATCGCCTAGACCGGACATTGACGCCCACAGGGAAGGGTTCCTGTAATTTTTATAAAAGAAAAATCAATTAGAGGTTTTTCTCCGAAACATCTAATGATACATGTAAAATTGCTAGCATGATGAGACCAAAGTTTTCTCTTTTTAAATTAGATGGGAACATTTTTTTTTGTCTCATGTCAAACTATGAGAGAAAACTACAGTCAGAGAATGCTGCTTGATTTCATCCATTGTTTACTAATTGAGGATTGTCATTAAGAGCTGTGTTTGTCCTCAGCCAGACGCTATGGAAGGCTTAAAATGGAACAGGAACGAATCTTGCCCCGTAAACAAGGAAGAGATGGTAACTACTAGAGCAATAAAATCCAGAATACGTACATGATATAAAGATGGGGAAATAACATTATTTGTCCAAAAAAAATTTGCAACACATGACGCTTTCAGAAATAGTGATGACTATGAAATTGCATCATGTAGAACATTGTTAACACTGAAGAAGGTTGCTTTTCTTGAAAATTGGGCAGCTTGGTTTGAGTAGCCACCTCTGGGGCTCCAAAGGAGTATGGTTGACAATCAATTCTAACCAGTTCAAGCTCTAAGAAAACTAAAAACTTTTGAAGAAGATATAAAAGTAGAATGAATGACAATATTATAAGATGGTCTTTGAGATGTTGCCTTCACAGTGAATAATAGAAATGGAGGCATCAATTCAGTAAATAACGACACTGTGTAGGAGAGACTCTTTAATGGTAGCTTGTAGCATGCTTCAAGAAATCCAAGTATATGAATAAGATCACTGCTTTAGGACTGGGTACTACGTACATTTCAGATGGGAGTTATTCTTTGTAATTCCTATGATCCTATAACTCTCTATGAGGTTTTGGAGCTGATTTCTTCACCATCGGCAAAGGAAGGACTTGTGCAAGAAAGGAAACTGCCGTAAAACCAAAACAGTGGATCAGCAGAACTATTGTATTTTAGCAAATTAGGCTTACGGAACTGAGACCCAGAACAACAAAATTCTCCTGGACTAGAAGGTAAAGTTCAGATGACTCGAAGTATGTACTCCCAGTGATTTTTGCATTATCACATGAAAGAAGTGTAGATTTGAAGTACTTGAATGAAGACAATATGCAATGATTTTATACCTGATCTCCTGCATTAGGACCATCTGAACGGAAAATAATAGGGCGACACCGTTTATCCTCATTCATCAAACTAGAATTCTGGAAGTGATTAATAAGAGCTGCTTTCCCCTGGATACGAGCATATGCAAGATATGCCACTTTTTCACTGTTAAACTTTTCCCATTTTTTACCATTGAATGCCTGCAAAGGTTACATTCAACTCTTTTAGCAGCAAATCTTAGGGACGAAGAATGGAAGCAAGTTTTTTATTAAAAAACCCATGCCTATTTAATGCTGATATAGATACCCGCAAAACAAAAATAAAATTTAGTTCCAAAGTCTTTGCAGTCAGCATCACAATATAGAACCTTTTATATAAATTCACTGGGATATTGGGACCGGAAAATAGGGTGCCGTAGAAGATATCCAGATTAAAAAAACTCTAGTAATTAGGATATGAAAACACATACCTGATAAAATGAGATAATGTGTTGTGGATCAGTCATGTTGATAAAAGCATATCCCACATTACATTTATTCTGAAAATGGTAAAAAGGAAATTAGCTGATGAATTGATAGCAATAAATGGCATCTAAATTTTACCATCAAGAACAAACAAAGTTTTTGTTTATACAAAGACTTTGAATACCTTAAAATCTATAGGCAAGTAGATAAAATCATAAGTTCCTTTGTGTTGATCATCGATAGTACCCAGAAGCATCTTGGACGTGTACCTGAAACTCAGTTACTCGCAATCAGATAAACCAGAATAGAACAAGTACATAAAGACGCTACAATTGTAACTGAAATAAAGATGAATTGAATAAAGGAGTTATCCACTTACTTATTAGGAATGTTTTTTATCATTAGCGTGGTGCGTGAGTCGTCTCCTTGAATAATCCGGTTGATGTCAAGTTCATATTGCTTTTTGCTATCTGCTTGATTAGCACCCGAATCACTTATTCGCCTCCTCATGCGATCATGAGTAATATCATGCAAATTAGGTGTCTGATTCACACGGTTCCTTCCGTGAAACATGTGGCTCTTCTGCTGAGGTGAAGGAACCCCGATATGTGCAGAGGCAATAGAAGGGTCTACACATGTTCCATGAGAATGAGGAAATATATGACGAGAAGCAAGTTCCAGAGAGTGCAACTCAGAGAAGCTAGAAAATCCCATATTCTCCAGAGCACTTGGATGGAAAGCGGTAGCATCCTCATTCAAAGAATGTCTTTGGTTCCAGAGCAAGGGATCCACAGTTGGTGCTGACCCAACATGCCGATGAGGCAATACAGGATTTATATGAGCTGGAGCTCTAGTGAACCCATGCATTGTGGGAGATTGAGCAGGACTATTGTTCATGAATGGTGACAAATTCTGCCACATCATAGACCCAGGTTGATGATGATATGAATTGGAACTACTCCAAGTATAGTCATTCTCATGAAGAGGGTATTTTCCATTTCCAGAAACATTAAAGGCTGCGGAAAAGAAATATGGATAGAATTATTAAAACATCAAGAAAATAAAGACTTGAAAGGTGTTAACACATTCTTTACACAAATTATGTAACCGAATACTATATATAAAAGATAAAAGAATGATATATGAGAAATTGCTCCCACACAGAAAAGTTTAACGCCCACAGGAAGGTATAATAGTCAGAAAATTATTATAGAAATTCATTTCATTGCATGTACCTGCTTTGGTGTGTTCAAAAGAATGGCCACTATGGCCACCAGAACCAACTCTGTGCATGTTTCTATTGTCAACTCCCTGAGATAGTGTGGAACTAACATTTACAGCCATTGCTGACATGGTGCTTGGGGAGTTCAAAGCAACACCACTAGTTACACCATCACGTGGTAAGGTTGATATGCTTTGAAAACCAAGGTTCATATGTCCTAATGAATAGCCATTTATAGCCATCGCTGACACAGTGCTTGAGGAGTTCAAAGGAACACCACTAGTTACGCCACCATGTGGTAAGGTTGGCATGCTTTGAAAACCAAGGTTCATATGTCCTAATGAATGGCTCAGCTCAAAGTTGCCAGATTGATTGACAAAATTTCTAAGCAGTGCAACCCTGGCTGGAGACGATAACTTATGAGGGCTGCTAGAAGGAATTTCATGAAACTTGGACTCTGAAGATAATCTATTCTGCATTTCAAATGAAGCATGCACTCCCTGGACATCCCCATTATGAAGAACTCTGGAAGTATTTTCTCCAAGCGTCATCAATCCAGAAGAAACTGACATGCAAAGAATTATTTGTAAGTAGAAGCATAAACAGAAAAAGGGAGCTCAAGTTAACGCACCCAAT